ATCAGAGTACAGAACTCCAGCCCTGGATTAAAACATAAGCATGACACACCTTGCTCAGGGCCCCTGCCACAATGTTAATGACGTACCAGAATTTGGTTTCTCCTGTTTGCGTAAAGACACTAGTCCTCATGTTTGCAAGGAAAAAAAAAAAAACAAACAAACAGATCTAGGTTAACATCTTCTTCGCTAGCTGTAACAGCAGGTGTGAGAGGTATGAAGTTCCCCAAAGGTCTTGGTCAAGGTGTGGAAGGTACTGACTGCAGAGGTGACTCCTCTAATTGCCTTTCATCTCTCCAAAGTGGATAGAGACCCTAATACCATTCCAGAGGAGAAAGAGGCCTGTGGTCTCACATTACTGAGGGAGGGGTAAGGACCTCCGTCCCCATCACTTTAACTTGGGCAGGGAGGAGTGGGATACCATAAAACAGGGGAGCTACAGGGGCTCTGTTACTATGGGATCTCAGTATGCCTGCACCTCTTACTTCAGTTTTCTGATATACAAGGAAATAATGCTTTTTGTGGGTCAAGAAGATTGTCCAGAAATTATTAGACTTACCTTTGTCTTAGTTTTATTTTTTAAAAATATCCCACTACACATAAGCTATGGTACATCAAAGGCTTTTGGAGTGCTTTGCAAAGGCTAATGCATTATTAAGCTAGCAAACCCCTACGGATGGGAAGATGCAAGTAGAGAGAGGATAATAACTTGCTCAGGGCTACATAGTGTGTCAGTGACAGAGTTAGGAATACAGCTTGTGTGTTTTTAACTGTCTCTCAGCTGATAATCCATGGAATTGGGAAAAAGTATTAGATCAAAGTCAATTGTACAACTTGAAATACAGCACTGCATTCTGCTTTTACTCTGTGCAAACCCCTGAAACAAAGTATAATATAATGCTGCAGAATTGCAATACCATTCTTCAGCCTGCATACAAAAAATTCCTCAAGACCTCTGTTTTTGAGCAGGTAAATGTCAGGAAGAGAAATAGCCAAATTTTGGACATGTTAAAACAAATCCACCTGAACATCCAAAATACAGTGAAAATCAGTGATTCAGTATTCAAGTACAAGGCAGCAGAAAATCTCAGAGAGGCAGATTATTAAGTACTGTTAACATGGAAAAAGAGACCTAAAGGAGAGATTTTAAGGAGCTAAGATAAAGGCAATGCTAGACCTACCTGCAGAATATCAGAACTAGGGCGAAATGAAAATTTAGAAGTATGAAGTTCCATTCTCCCCGCTTCAAAACAATACAAAACAAAAAACCCAAACAGTCCTTCCCAGTTTGTAGTTGAGAAGCCAAGTCAAGTCATGAGTTCCTCCATCTCATGTCTTTTCCCATGTCTGTTCTGTATTGGCAGCTGTCCTGGGTTACCACAGAGATACTACGTAAATGATGGACAGTCCTGCTGCAATGTCATATCTTTTACAGGAATCACAGCTCCATATAACATTAATTAAGCCAACATACTTGCGTCCAATTTGTTTAAAGTTATTACGACTCTCATATTTTCAGCATGTTTTTCTATCTGTGTTCATCTGCTTCAGCAAACAGCGAACAATTTTGTTTTAAAGTCCAGAGTATGTTGGAGAATGAGCCATTTCACTATTACAGCCTGGAGTTTTTGAGACTTGTACTGCATATTTCGATCCTTAGTGGCCTTCTTGCCCATCTTATTCGTATTCTTAAAATATTCCTGTTAAATTCTTTAAATATTGTTAATGCCTAAATATACACGCAGTGCCTCGCCCACTGAGATTGGAAGTCTAATTTCTGTACAGTGTGGTGTGTACATGCACTCAAATTGGAATTTATGTTGACTGGCTAGTATAATTAGATTTTGCCATTGCATTTAATTTTAGAATAAACCACATTTATTTCCCTTACACTAGATTCAGGAGATAAATTATAGTTGAAGCAATCAGATTTTTCCAGGCTTCTCTAATATTCAGTTTGAATTCATTTGGTATTTCAATTTCTTCTACCAAGCGTAGCAGTTATTTAGGCCCAATACATCAGAGAAAGTTTTCAGGTTTGATTGCTATTTCTGAGGGGCTGTTGGGGAGCAGAAGGAGTCTTTAAGCACAGATGGCCTACTAGATGCTGGTAACGTTTAAGCCAGTGTCTCTCTTAGGAGGACCCAGGACCAGTCTAATCATGTGGTGGGAGGCTTTATTAGAATTACCTGCCATTATTAGCATCAATACAAACCTAATTTTCATAGCACAGACAAGGTTTAAGGGAGAGCCTGAGAGCACTGACTTGTTTCAAGCAGCAGGATTGGTGGGTATAGCCAAATTCTCTGTTAATTTAAGTAAGCCTAAGTGCAGTCAAGTCACTGTAGCGAATACCATGTACATCTTTGGCCGTGGTACATGATGTATCCAATCATACTGTATTTGCCTTCAGTTCAACTTAACTACACAGGATGGACCCACAGCTTGCCTGGTGCAGGTGGGACAGAGTGTAAATCAAAAGGCGTATGAATAGATACAAACAGGGGCAGGAGAGGAGTTCAGCAATGCACACGCCTTAAAAAGCGGTAACATTGCTCACTCCCAGGTGACTGCTGATGAATACCTCGGAAGTAAGGTGCAGTACCAAGATGTGGCTAAATATACAAGGATTTGTATCCAATGGGCTTTAAAAAGGTAAACTAAATACGAAAGTTTTGAAGTAAACCATGCAAATGTAACTCGGCTTTGAGATCAGAAAATGATTAGTATTTGCTGTGAATGAAAGGTCTGTCTGTAATTTGAAATGGATTAACTAAAGAGATATTTTAAGGTCAATGGACTGAGAGTAATTTCTGGTGACAGTGCAATGTTTTCTCTGTTCCAGCATTTAATGCAGACAGTATTCTAGTTACTGTAACCCAGATGTGAGATTTTTAGAAAATGTTCAGTGTAGTGAAGGCAGCTCTTTGTGGTAGGAACAAATTATGACTTTAAGCTAGATTTTTTTTTTTTTTAAGAAAACCTATTCAGTAATACCCCACATATGATTTAGCAGAGCTGAATTTGAGAGCAGCTGACGGATCTGCCTGTGTTTTCTTGCATGCAGATTTTGTACTCCAGGGACCAGTGTAATTTGCAGTTGGGAAGCTTCTTTTAGGATTTTGATCTCCACCCCAGGAAACAGAGTGGCAACCCTGAGCAGGATCTAACTATATTCAGTTGTGGAAGTGAAACGTAAAATACATGCTTAAAAAAAGAATTGAATGTTGAATAGTTTCAAGTTGCTGTGATGTTCTTAAAGTTATTTCTGCTTTCTATGATGAATGTCCACAGATGAGGAAAAGACACAGTTACTGTTTTTTTTCTTTTGAGTCAGGATAGGAGCCTGACACTAGCAGGGAAACAACTGGTCTTCAGTAAGGCCTGTCAAATGTAGTTTCACAGTAGTGTCAGTTACCACGGTTGTGAAATTGGGAGCCCATGTTTACAGCTAAGCATGCTCTAGCTTATTGACAAAACTGTAGAGTATACAAGACTGGCAGTAGAGTGTATAATCAAAATGGCACATGACAATACTGATTACAAATAAGAATATTGTGTAAAGAGACACTGAAGGGTACTGGCCATTGGGTCACCTCCCTGCTAGTACAGAATCTCCTCCAGTGCTTGTCTTTTCTGCATTTCATGATGAGGATAACAGCCCTCTTCCCATAGCTGTTGACTTCCAAATGAAAAGATGGTCTAGCAAAAACTGTTCTGAGGAAGTTCTCACATGGTTTCTGAAATTCTAGTGACAGCATCTTTAAAACTTAACAATTGATTAATGAAGGGCTTTTTTGAAGGTGCAACTATAGGTTAATAATCTGGTAACGTGACTGTTGCCAAGGAAACAAAAATTTAATTTGCTGGCTCATTTCAAACATGGAGCTGAATTACATTTCTGTCTCTACATTTAATGAACAAATCGTTGCAATATTTGTGAGATTTAATTAAGATGGTGAGCTTACATGGGTAAGAGGGAGGCTGCTGCGGCAGGCCTAATAAACTGGTGTTTATTGTGGAAGAGAAGGCATAAAACCAGCATTCTTCACTGTCTCTGCAATGCCTGGGCTCAGTCTTAGTTATCTGTGTTTTAAAAAAAAATAAGCCTAAGGTAGGAATAATAAGGCATTGGTTCACTGCCATAGACCAAAGGAAGCCTTGCAGAGAGAAGCTGGCGCATGTTCCCTCCTGCTCTTAGCTAAAAGAAATGGCAAAATCCACTTTCTCTCTTGCTAGAGAGGATTCTGTTTTACAATAGGGACAATGCTCCGAGGCACCTCTGTTGCCACGGTATTGAATGCCCTGGCAGTAGGACTGGTGGCTTTAAATGCTATGGCTCTAAATGACCCAAATAATAATATTTTCACACTAACTTCCCCCCAGAAAGGGCATTAATGTTCCCCTGATAGTGTTCTTGATCCTCAGTTTCTGTTCCTTCCCACTCTTTGCTGGGCTTGCTTACAGAAAACAGTCTGGACAAAAGAGGTCCCTTCTGATCCTTACTTCGTCTGCCCTGATCACTCGCAACAGGACAGTAAGGTTTCTAAGAGACAGAAATAAAATTCTAAGGAGGGCCTTAAATATCACCTCTACATATGATCCAAAAGAGAACACTTAAGTGCATTAAACAGCCTTAATCTAGCCTAGCTTTGTACAGCTTGGATGGCTTTATAGCAGTCACATCTGCTTATTTCTCTTTGGTGAAACAAATGCTAACCTTTGATCTGCAAGCATGTTTGAACCATAAGCCTTTTCTTTCCTTTAAGTGAAAACTTTTTAAAGGGTAGTCTTCTGTATATTGTTGTACAGAAGTAAGTTTCTATCAGTATTAACACGCTTTTCAAATTATTTATATTCACATATATTTACCCTCATATGCAGATTTTGCTCTAACAGCCGCGCTAACTAACCTGGAATAGTTGTAAATATTCAGAAAGTTTGCCTCAACAAAATTCCTGAAATATGAATACAGTTTCTGAATATAACTGTTAAAATTAACAAAATACAAGCAACAATTTAGTATTGCAGATAACAGAATTTTTCTTTCTCAGGAAGACTATGATCGTCTGAGACCTTTATCTTATCCTATGACCGATGTCTTCCTTATCTGCTTCTCAGTGGTAAACCCTGCTTCATTTCAAAATGTGAAGGAAGAGTGGGTACCGGAGTTGAAGGAATATGCACCTAATGTTCCCTTTTTACTAGTAGGAACACAGGTATATCTGGTTCTGTTCTACTTCATTTAAACAATTCATATCATTGTGTGGTGCCTTTTCTTTGGGCTGGGAGTTCAGGCCCGAGAGGACCTGAGCAGCACCCCCTTCTGGCTTTGGAGGAACAACCCTAACAAGTGGCGGAAAAACACAGATCTGTGTTCTCCTCTAATGAGCTACCTCCATTTTGTTAAAATGCATGCATTGGAAACAGGGTGGTAAGATTGGCTGCATCTCTCCATGGGACTTACTATAAAGTCATGGGACTTACGGAATAAAATTGTCTGTTCATACCCATGTTACTGGTATTACTTGGGTCTACAACTATTGGTCATATCCAATATTTGCTGAAGCAAAGGAGCAAGGAGAGAAGTGAGGCAGAGAGGAGGCCTGCATGGATGAACAAGGAGCTCCTGCACAAACTCAAACACAAAAAGGAAGCCTACGGAGGGTGGGAGCAAGGACAGGTAGCCTGGGAGGAATACAGAGAAATTGTCCAAGCAGCCAGGGATCAGGTTAGGAAAGCTAAAGCTCTGACAGAATTAAATCTGGCTAGGAACATCAAGGGCAACAGGAAAAGCTTCTATAGGTACGTCGGTGATAAAAGGAAGACTAGGGAAAATGTGGGCCCTCTCCAGAAGGAAACAGAAGGCCTGGTTACCCGCTGAGGCTGAGGTACTCAATGACTTTTTTGCCTCAGTCTTCACCAGCAAGTGCTCAAGCCACACCGCCCAAGTTGCAGAAGGCAAAGGCAGGGACTGGGAGAATAAAGAACCACTCACTGTAGGAGAAGGTCAGGTTCAAGACCATCTAAGGAACCAGAAGGTGCACAAGTCCATGGGACCTGATGAGATACATCTATGGGTCCTGAAGTAACTGGCAGCTGAAGTTGCTCAGCCACTATCCATCATATTTGAGAAGTCATGGCAGTCTGGTGAAGTTCCCACTGACTGGAAAAGGAGAAACATAACCCCCATTTTTAAAAAGGGAAAAAAGGAAGACCTGGGGAACTACAGGCCAGTCAGTCTCACCTCTGTGCCCGGCAAGATCATGGAGCAGATCCTCCTGGAAACTATGCTCAGGCACATAGAAAATAAGGAGGTGACTGGTGACAGCCAACATGGCTTCACTAAGAGAAAATTGTGCCTGACAAATTTGGTGACCTTCTACGACAGGGTGACAGGGTTGGTGGATATGAGAAGAACAACTGATATCATCTGCCTGGACTTGTGCAAAGCATTTGACACTGTCCCGCACAACATCCTTGTCTCTAAATTGGAGAGGCATGGATTTGACGGACGGACCACTCAGTGGATAAGGAATTGGCTGGATGGTTGCACTCAGAGCGTCACGGTCAACAGCTCAATGTCCAAGTGGAGACCAGTGATGAGTGGTGTTCCTCGGGTCAGTATTGGGACCAGCACTGTTTAATGTCTTTGTTGGCGACATGGACAGTAGGATTGAGTGCACCCAGCAAGTTTGCTGGCAACACCAAGCTGCGTGGTGCAGTTAACACACTGGAGGGAAGGGATGCCATCCAGAGGGTCCTTGAGAGGTGGGCCCATGCGAAACCCATGAAGTGCAGTGAGGCCCAGTGCAAGGTCGTGCACATGGGTTGGGGCAATCCCAAGAACAATCCCACAGGCTGGGCAGAGAAGGGATTGAGAACAGCCCTGAGAGCAGCCCTTTGGGGTGTTGGTTGATGAGAAACTCAACACGACCCGGCAATGTGCGCTTGCAGCCCCCAGAGAGCCAACCGTATCCTGGGGTGCATCAAAAGAAGCATGATCAGCAGGTTGAGGGGAGATGACTCTCTCCCTTTACTCCACTCTTGTGAGGCCCCACCTGGAGTACTGAGTTCAGCTCTGGGGCCCCCAACATAAGAAGGACCTGTTGGAGCGAAGTTCAGAGCGCTGGAGCACCTCTCCTATGAAGACAGGCTGAGAGAGCTGGGTTTGTTCAGCCCGGAGAAGAGAAGGCTGCAAGGAGACCTTATAGCAGCCTTCCAGTACCTGAAGGGGGCCTACAAGAAAGCTGGAGAAGGACATTTTACAAGGGCATGTAGCTAAAGGACAAGGGGTAATGGCTTTAAACTGAAAGAGGGTAAATTTAGATAAGATAGAAGGAAGAAATTCTTCACTGTGAGGATGGTGAGACAGTGGAACAGGTTGCCCAGAGAAGTTGTGGATGCCTCATCCCTGGAAGTGTTCAAGGCCAGGCTGGACGGGGCTTTGAGCAACCTGGTCTAGTGGAAGTGTCCCTGCCCATGGCAGGGGGGTTGGAACTAGATGATCTTTAAGGTCCCTTACAACCCAAACCATTCTATGATTTATGAATTTGCTCTTGCTTTGTGGGCAGTGGACTGGGTTTCAATTACAAAGTGACCCACATGTTGGTATTATGTTTGGGTTAATCTTTCTGCCACTGCTGGATATACATTCTGGTATTCTGAGATGATCACATCTAATTGAAGAGCTGAATTACAGAATAAATGTTTATTCCTTCTGGATTAAAGGTAGTACTTCACAGCTTAAATTTCCAGGGCTTTTGGATCAGGAAGGGTCCACAATCTGAATCATGACATGACTCCATTTTTATACATGTAATACTCTAATCATTAAATAATTCTTCTTTAAAAAGAGGGTATCATATAGCCTGCTGACTTCATTTAGAAAAAGTATTCCAACATGACTGCAATCTTTCTTGCTAGATTGATCTTCGTGATGACCCAAAAACTCTGGCAAGACTGAATGATATGAAAGAGAAGCCCCTATCTGTGGAGCAAGGACAGAAGTTAGCGAAAGAGGTAAACTGGATACTCCTAAATGAAACAAAGTAGCAAAGAAGTAAAAAACCCTGTTTCCGATTGACTGTTTTTTCCTTTACTACTTTGCCCATTTCTTTTACCAGTCAATGTATGAAACCTTATGACTGGTTGCCAGTTAACAATATTTACTTACGTTGTTGAATACAGCTAACAAGCAGACTTCTGTAATAGCACTTCCCTGTTAGTAATAGTTCTAACTTTCTGTGTAGACACTCATAAAAACTACATAAGCATTAGTCAGAGAGAATTAAAATCACAGAGTGGTTGAGGTTGGAAGGGACCTCTCCTGCTCAAGCAAAATGTTGGAAGCATCTTTAAGAAATTATTTGAGAATGCTCTACCATTTTAACACACTGCATGGATAATGCTTATCAGGACACTTTATAGTCTTATTTTTGAAACATAAGTTGCTCGTGTAATTCTGTAATTCTATTTTGCTGTTTAATTATCAAAAATACCTTAGGACCCCACTGCCAATCCAAAGAGCTTATTTAATATGCTTCCTTTATAAAACAAACTTACTTAAATACATTCCAGATCTTGGGCCAAAAGACAAATCTTTTCTCTTACAGGGGGATGCACATGCAGATAACTTTTTTAGATCACAGCCAAACACTGTGATGTCACTACAGAAAAAAAAAATGCAAAGTGCACAATTAGAACTGAACAGCTGAAATATATTGCTATTGAATTAACTTATTTTCTTGACAGATAGGAGCCTACTGCTATGTGGAGTGTTCAGCTTTAACACAGAAAGGACTGAAGACCGTTTTTGATGAAGCTATTATAGCCATTCTAACTCCAAAGAAACAGACAGTGAAGAAGAGAATAGGCTCAAGATGCATAAACTGCTGTTTGATCACGTGAGATACATTTGACAATGGCCAGGCTTACTGTGAAATTCTACTGAATTTAAATACAATGTATTAAGTACACAGCAAACTTGTTACAGGTTTGAAAGCTGAAACTACGATTCTGCCTTCTACAACCAGTGAAATCCAGAGGAATAAAATCAAGCTCAACAAACTTGTAATAAGAAGCCACCACATCTGTTACAAATATTTTATTCAGACTGGAAGGTACAATCTCTCAGGGTTACATAGTCTAGAGGAAGCAAAAACTGCACCATGCTGAAACGGCATCTATGTCATTTTATTGAGTGGAGATGCTTGGCCTGAAATACTCTAAATGAATTTGGATAGTCTTCTGCTTTGACTATATATACGCATACATATTTCTCTCTCTTAAAAAAACACAACTTTTGCACAGTCTGTATGGAATCTGCACAAAGAAATACCTTGTCTCTCTTTGCTCCAGTTATCTGCTTTTGTATGTAAGCTGCTTCCGGTTCCAGTGTATCCACAGAGGTGCAATAATCAGACCAGCCATATAGCCAAAGGTAGCTCCAAGGGAACAGGAAATGGGCCATACCTGAGGGGAGAACACAAGGTAAAAGCAGACAATGAGGAAAATGTTTGTGGTTTTTTGTACTTTGTGAGCACAAATTCTCAGTGTAATCTAGGTACTGAAAGACAATACAGTCTTACTCTACTTTAAAGCTTGATGTGCTTTCCTAAAAATACCAAAAGTGTAACAATCATCTTCACGAACACTAAATGCCATTGTACAGTTTTTAATTAATATGCATTAAAATGTAATCAGGCTTCTGGCTATTGCAGACTTGAGTTCAATATTCCCAAAACTATGTGAAAAAACTTACAAGTATTTACATCCCCTGAAGTGTTCAGCTAACCTAACCTCCTGTTCTGCTGCACACATCAAGAAATCTGTAGGTTTCAAAACAATTTCTCCTTCCAATCTCTCATGGCATTCTAAAACTTTTAGAGGTGTGTATAAATGAACTAATATTCAAACAAGGCCAGAGACTGAGCTGGATAGAGGAGTTTTCTTTCTCTTGTTTTTGTGGGGTTTTTTTGGTTTTGGGGTTTTTTTGGGGGGTCTTGGAGAGTAGGCAAAGGGATGAATTTCCCTAAGGCCAGCAGTAGGGAGGGAATGTAAATTTGGAAACTGACTGAACATCTTGCACCCAGTTCAGCAAACATGTAGTAAGCCAGTTATGTTAGAGAGCTTTAATTGTAAGCTCTATTTCCTCATACAATAACAGGGATCTGACTCAGTACAGCTGACTTGCAAACCATATAGTACTGAGGCAAAGAAGTAATGGGATTCTCCCCCTGCCGCTCCCCCCCCTTTTTTTAAATTGGTATTGATTTGCAGGGAGGAGTGGCCAAAACAAAACTTAACCCATCTGTCCTCAGATGTAGCTTATATTGGAGTCAACTACATGCTGCATTCAATGAAAGTTTCAACTAAGTTGGTGATTAAAAAAATATTTACTGTAGAATAAACTGAATTGCCATCCCTCTTCAAAATTCTCCTTTGCATATTTTTTGGCAAGGACAGTTTTGCACTTCCTGCTGTTCAGTGCATGTTCCTGAAGCAAGTACAGAATGCACTCTCCTATTTTTTTAATTAAGGGGAATATTTTCACCTTCTGTAGTACTTGAGACTGAGAAATGCACTAGACTTTAAAGAAAATACCCATATCTCAGTGTCCATCGTTCCTTTCTACTTCATTTTGACTTGCAATTCATGAATATCAAATTAACTTATTCTTAATGGTACTGGTTCCTTCTTTCATTCATTTTCCTAGCTCTGATTCTTCTCTTTACTTCATTATCACTCAGAAAAATACATTTATTCACATTCTTTGATCATGGGAATTTTAACTAGGAATAAGAGTAACGTGTTTTGTCCTCTGCTGTTTCATCTTCACAGTCTCCTCAGCGGTTTCATCTTCACATTCCTTAGCATTCGCAGTTTTATATATTATTTGGAGGTCTTAAGGAGTGTAGCAAAGATGATTATAAACAAGGTGCCTTAGGTACTCTTTATTGACCTTGTTTCATTCTTCCATTTCCAGACATTCTGTCTCTGCTACTTGTTTTTGTTGCTGAATATTTTGCCTGTTGCCTCTCAAACCAAAGACTTGCTTGTTTTCATTCATTTCACAGTGGTATTGTAGATCTTCTATAAAAAGCTTTGAGATGCTTTGGCATGGTAAGATGTTATGTATATTTAAAACTCACATGAGTTTGTGGCCTTGGCTAAACTTACACTTCAGGTGGATCTTTTCAACTTTTAAATAGAATGTAATTATTTCTAGCATTTTGCATATTACACATGTCTAAAGGACAAAACAATAAAAAAGTCCCTGCAACCCCAGCTGCTCACTCAGTAACATTCAGTTGGAACGGGAGTCATACTTTCTTATCCACTGATGAAGTCAAATACCACTCTAATATCCACAAAACTATGGACAGAGGCTTCATAACTCAGTGGTCTTTTTACATCAGATTCTCTGAGCGATCAATGATCCTTCATTACATTTTACCTACATTAGGTGAATCTGTAGTTGCCTGTTTGCTTTTTCAGAAGTATAGGTAGATGTTGGACTCTGAATTTTTTGTGTTCCCTTAACTACAGAGTCAATACCCCTGATGACCCATTGGTCCTGTATCTTTTGGTATTTTGTGGGTAGTGGGCAATTGTTGGTACAATTAAAAGGATCTCTGATGATTGTTGTAACTTTTTACCTGACTGAATTGCAACTTGGAACATGATTTTTCAATAGTTATGTAAATAACTTTTAATATTAATTATGTCCCTGTCTTCCAAAACATTCAATTTTTGTTTTGATTTTTAAAAATCAGTGTTACCTTACAGAAGTTTCAGGCTGTCTCGCTTAACACGTGAGCCTCTGACCTCTGAAATCCAACCCTCAGCAATGGCAGCTGGCAAAGATAGGGGGCAAAGGGAAGAAACCACAGAACACTCCATCTCACTGTCTATGAATGAGACAGAACAGAAACACCACCTCATCCCTTCTAGTGGCATAGAACAGAAGGGTACTAGGCCAGGTATGCATTTTTATTATGCTGGTCAGGTGGCCCAAAGTAGTTCTGAAGGCAGTTTGATTGGCCTTTTGAAAACTCCCTAAGCACAGGAGTTAAAAGCCTGGACTTAAAACTGTTGCTGTCCTTACACTATTTTCTCTAACCCTCAAGGCAGGGCAAAAAACCCCTAACGAACAGGATGATACTAGTTCTGCACCTTATATTCTTGACTGCTGGCCTTTAGGCTACATATAGCCAGATGCATCCATGGGTATATCTAAAGCAGCAAGTTATCAAAGACAGATTAGGATGTGGCTCTTAAGCACATCACCTGCACTAAAATAACAGCCCTTGCATATGCTTTTTGTCTGTCTATGAAAGTGTGTTGCTTTATTTTGCATTAGCTGCTGGCCTCATTTTTCTGAGACCCGATCAGTTTCCACTGGACCTTTTTAAATGAATTTGACTTACTTGATTGGTCTGCTTTTGCCCTGTCTTTCATATTATCTCTTAAACTTGGTTTAGCTTCCCTGACTTGGTATGAACTGCCTCTGAGTGATAAAAATCTTAGCAGCTAATATCCGGCTGCCTGTTCTAAGAGATTCCATTCCACTTGTTTAAAGTATGCAACTTGTGATACACCCCTCTCATCCCCCGAGAACTATTCAGCTCAGTTTCTCCTACTTTATGCTCCCTTCTGCTGTGAGGAAGCTGACACATCCTACCCCAGTACTGATGTCACGTCTAGGCTGGGTCAGCAACAGGGGAGTAAGATGTTAGGCAACATCGCCTAACTGCACTTTTTTTGAGGGGGAAGAAGGTTGATCTGGAGAGGAAAGCGTGGGAAGCTCAGGAGACAGGACAGAACGTTCTTCAGGAATCATCATGAAATGCCTTGTCTGTCCCAGTAGCTAGGAAGCATCAGCTACTATTCTCACAGCCTAATACAAGAATAGTCAGTTTGCATATCAAATGCATGCAGAAAAGGGCAATTTTAACAACCTGTGATTACTAGGAATCTCAACCTACATGCTTAATAAGCATAAAAAAATTGCATTTTAAGGGACAGAGCATGAGCCAGTGGTTAATGCAAAACGATCCTGACTTCTGCTATTTGTTTAAATTTTCTTTTTGCCTTTCCTTTTCATCTGGCAGCAGTGATAGTACTTAACAGAGATTTCTTTAGGCTAGCTAAATAGACGCTGCAGAACTGCAAAGTTTCTAGTATATATTAGAACTTATGTTAAGAATAAAGACTCAAATTAGGAATTGCCAACCTTTCAGGAAACAAATGAGCTAGTTTCCTCACAGCTCTTTAGAACACCTATGAACCGATGTGAGAATGTGTAGCATATTGCATGGAAAGCAGAGCATGTTGCAGGATCCCAGCAAGGTGTCTAGCTCTGCTGTACTATGCATGTAGCTAGTTAAACCAGAATGTTGACTGCATGACAGTTTTGTCACCTATTACAAGTCTGTAACTTGCATCCCATGCAATGGGAATTACATAGACATTGATAAGGACGTAAAGGCCAGATTCTTATAGGCAAGAGGAGCAACACCCTAATAAAGTTTTTAAAGGTATGATAAAGTAAGCAGCTGACTGCTGGAACTTTAATTCTACAAATGCAAATACAGTGGGGCAATCTACTATACTTACTTCTTTTTTTTTTTGTAACCTGGTCCCATTCTTTAGGTGAGTGCTTTTCTCATATGCCTAAACTTGATTTGTTTTGTATTCTTACTATTTCAAAAGATCCATTTCTGACTGTCAATTAGAAAGCTATGTACTAATTTTTGTTTCATTTTAAAACTGAATAAATGAGCACAATTACTTTCCCTCCCTGTTTCTAACATGCCTTAAATTCCTGATTGTTTAGTCTGTACTGTCTTAAAAATTTCAGTACATGCCTTTAATCTATTTTGGTTGCATGCACATGTTAACTAAAAGTGTCTTATCACATTGTACAGAATGTGTGTGTTGACAAGCACATGCCGAGGAGAAGGAAGTGTGAGGTTTTTTTTCAGGCTGGGATTTGTAACTAGAAGTTGGTTTTGTGGATTTGTGTTTTAAAGTTAAAGCAAGCATAATTGCCTTTAGTCTCATCATTAAGGTTTACATTAAGAAAACATATCATGAAATAAACAATGATAACCACACTAAAGTGGAACAAGCTTCTACCTCTGTTTAAAAAAAACCTCAAACACTGGATATTATCCCTTCTACTCACATAAAGCAACTTTCTTTTGCAACAAAACTTTCACCTTCTGATCCAAAAGCAAATACAAGAAGGAAACTCTCTGAGCTGTGTTAAGAATAACAAAGTAGTGTGAA